CCCCCCCCCCCCCCCCCCCCCCCCCCCGCCCGCCCCTATCCGACCAGGCGTGGGAGAAGGACATGGTGGACAAGAAGGCGATGTCGTACATGTATGAAGACGCCGAAGTGTTCCAGTCCAACATCCTCGAGTCGAGGCAGGCCGAGCACGCTGCAGAGGTCATCGCAGCCGAAGAACGCGCCAGGGCCTTCCAGAAGCAGAAGAAGGTGAGATTTTTTGTGTCGATTACCACACCATGCAGTTGGGGTTGATGATGGTCAAGTGTTACTTTTCTTGTCAGGCGAGAGGAGGTGATGGTATCGCATCACCCGGTTGGGGTGAAGGTGGAAGGTTCGGGTCAGATGTGCGATCAGCAACTTGGTCCTGCCTCCACGGTGTTTAGGTGGATACACAGTGTTGGCCAAAGCCGCTGTTGCTACGCTCGCTACCCATCACCTTCATCTGCTACCTCATTTGTTGTCGTTTTCCTCCTGCTGTGGTGCTTATTTCGTCCTCGCCCTTTCGGCCTTGGTCCTCGCACTGCTTCCCCACACACCTGTGCTGCAGGTCGAGCGTGCTCTTTCTCGCATGCGCAAGGCCGAGGAGGAGGCAGAGCGTGCCAGGGAGGAGGAGGAGCGCCAAGAACGCGAAGCGGAAGAAGCCGCTCGCAGGTACAGCAGTACAATTACCGTACACTTCTCATGTGCTCGTGCCGCTATGCACGAGACAGCCAACGCCTGATGCGTAGTACGTATGCATAGAGCACAATGCATCAGTTCAACCGCTGCAACCAGAAAACTTTGGCACGGGACCATACGCCCATTTTTTTTTTTCCCAAGTACTGCGTTTTTCGTCGATTTGATTGAGGGTAGAGTCGGAGGATGAATTTTGTCGACGCTTGTGTGAAGGAGAAGTGCACTACACCACACTACGACAGTGCCACCGGTGCACTGCCGGTGCAATCCAGCCGAATTCGCCGTCATTTAGCGGGCGACCGGCGTTATACCGTGACCACTGCTGTATGCCATGCCCTCGTGTCGTTGTTCCATTCCGGTTTTCCATGCGGCCGCTATGCACGAGACGCGAGACACGTACATATTCATCGCAACGCTTTTCAATGGGTGCAACCAAAAAGCTCACGGTATGCACGAGACACGAGCCACGGGCATATAACGTGCTCCAGTTCAACCGGTGCCATCAAAGAACTTTTGGCGCGAGACCAGTCACTTGGATTTGTTTTTAAGCGACCTTCTGCATACATCTGGCACACTTCTGATTGGGTTGGACTTTGGGTGGAAGGAAGCATTTGATCGACGCTTTTTTGTGAAGGAGAAGTTGGCGCTCGGCACCCGCTCTTGACCTTGCGTTTGTGTCTTGGCATCGTATGGTTGTCTTCCTTTGACGTGACAGGGAAGCGCTGGAGGCTGAACGTCAGGCCGCTCAAGAGAAGTCAGAGGCTAACAGGGCAGCGGAGAAGCAAGCGCGCGATGAGGTAACACGGACGTATTAAGATGGTTGATACATGATTGTGAGCTTGGTCCAAAAATGAGGAAAACAAGATGGTTGCCACAAGATTACAAGCTTGGTCCAAAAATGAGGAGTGCGTTCTCGTCGACTTTTGTCTCCATGGGCGCAAAACACACGTGTGCAAGTTACTTGCTAAAATTTGTTCTAGCTGTGTGTTGTCGGTTGTGTTCCTTCCAACGGTTTATTGGTTCATGTAAGGTGGACTTTATTGTGTTGAGACTGCGTGTGCGGATAACGTGTGGTGCAAATTTGCATCGAGTTTGCTGGTTTAGATGGCGCGTGAGCTAGGTTTTGTGCAGTAGGCACGCGGTGAGAGGTTGGTTCTGGAGTACGTACGTAAGAACTGTGCCTGTCAGTCTTGCGTGTTCGTTCTGGAAGCGCTGCTGTAACAAGTTGATAGCAGATGGCGGTATTTCTTGCCACGCTCATGTACAGAAGCAAAATGGGGCGGGACAACAAACCGCGGCACTAAGCATGTATCTAGAATATCCCTGTGCCATGACATGCATTCACCCACATCCCTGGTGCTGCGAGAACTGTCTTGACCACTGGCTGAACCACAGGAAGATACCTCTTGCGGACCTCCCAATGCAATTCGGCCGTTGATCTGTTGCCGTAACTCATCAACCGGCCAGGACTTTGTCCTCCTCTGCACTCGCCGCTAGCTATATAGACAGCTGCGTCCTCTCGTGTAACCGACACCCCCCGATGCCACACTTCGCCTACCCAAAACCTCGCACCCGCTTTTTGATTGGTGGAACAGGAGCGTGCCTCCCGCGGCCTCGGCCCTGAGGAAGCGGGCCAGCAGCGTGACGGCGGCGGTAACGACCTTCGCGACAGCAACGGCTACGACGACCGGTCCTCTGGAGGCTGGCGCACCGCCGGTGCCCCCCGCGGCGGGGGCGGCGGGGTTGGAGGCGGAGGCGGTGATGACAGGTACGGCCGGGGCGGCGGGGGCGCGAGCCGTGGCGGGATGAACAACGAAGGCCGTTATCAGGCTTCCCGTGGTGCGGGCGGTGGTGACTGGGGGCAGGCGGGCGCCGGCGACATGAGACGGGAGCGCAACTTCGAGGGAAGGTGGCGTCGCGCCGGGGGCGGCGGTTCCAGCAGCGGGGGCGGTGGTAGTGGCCGCTTCAGCGACAGGGGCAGCGGCGGCGGAGGGGGAGGGGGAGGGTTTGATCGTCGCGATAACCGCAGGGGGGGAGGAGGATTCGATCGGCGCGATGGCGGTGGAGGAGGGTTTGGCGGCAGTCGGGACGGCGGCGGAGACCGCCCGCCTATGGGCCAGAGGCCGATGCGTGGCCAGGGCCGCAGCCTGAAGGACCTTGAACGCTCTTCATAACCTCAACCTGGTGCAGAACTAGTGATGATGCCGCGGTGAAAGGACATTGAACACTCTATTTACCCTGGAGCACTGTTTGAGCCTTGTGATCGTGATGGTGTTCCAGGCTCTTGTTCTGATAAGTGGGTGAGGACGGCGGTGATGGTGTTCCAGGCGCTTGCTCTGAAAAGCGGTTGTTGTATAATGTGCGGAGAGGGCGAACTAGAGCATAACGTTATCGGGAGAGGTGTTGCTCATGTTTCGTGGGAGGAGACTTTTTTTTTTTTCTGGTGAAACGTTTGGGGATTTTGACAGCAGGAGGGGGGAGCAGGGGGGGTACTTGCTGCGCGTCGCAGGGCGCATGGCTTGCCGTGCTTGATTGTCGAGACACCGACCAGTGGCGTCGCGTGTGGAGTCGTATGGTAAAGTTCTCGTGTCAGGCGCGTGTACTCTTTTTATTTTTGAAGTTTGATTTGTCCTTCGGCTTGCCAGTGGCAACAGAGGCGGATGATGATAAGCCTTGGCGTTGATTTGCGACAACGACTTCCGAGTCAAACCCGGGCCTCTGGACGTTGTTTTTTTTAAGCATGTGCGCGTGGTGTGCCTTGAACACATGGATGTCCAGTCATGAGACGCCATCAGTAATCGATATTCCAGCCGGTGGCACGTGTCCTTGAAGGTAGTCGGCGAGGTGAAAAAAGATCGCGGTACGCTGAACGAGGTGTAATTGATTTGGTACTCGGCGAGATATGGTGTGTGCGATGCATCCGTCACAACAACGAACGGTAGTATCTGATTTCAATTGGATATTTTTTGTCTTGTTCTAAATATAACCCGACAAATCCATCTTTATCTATTGTTGGAACGAGAGACTGATGTTGATGTTGTGCGTGATGGACCCCCAAGTGTTGCTCCCTATTGTGAGGTCTTCTTGCAGCAGCAACGAACACGTGACCGATGCTCCGTCACGGGTCGGGCAGAGGCTGTGTTCGTCATCGTACGCGTGTTTGACCATGGCTAAGGCAGAACGTCACCTCGCAGAGGGTAAAACACGAAGCCCGTCCCCATCAGAGGTGTAGAGGTTTCAAAATCCAGCGATTAGTGACGGGCATCCGCCCGAAACTAGGGTACGGCCCGTGTACACGCCATGTTGGTTTTGAGGTGTTGACCGAGACAATCCCCGGCATACCCATAAAGGTTTGAGAAAAAAACACATTTCGTAAGAACGGCAACAGAAGCCGCGCCACGAAGACAACCAAAACGTCCGTTTAAAAGCTACGAAAAACGCCTGCGATTCAAGCGGAAACCCAGGCGGCGACAACAATGGTGCTGAATTTGGGGCCGGTTCAACGCAGATCAACACAGAAACCACTGTGTATACTAGGTATTGGATAGGTATTGAAGAAAACACCTTGTGTGTCTACTAGGTAAGGACGTCACAAGCGCGAGATACCGATCCATCAAAACTTTATATTGAACGAGTGCCATCGATAACACATTGGTCAAGCATGCAAAATGTCCTTCCGGCAATAAAATGCCATCCATGTATTGGGGGGATCATCTTAATTCAGACTCCAGCATTCGCTTGGGCCGGTGACCGGTGCTATCTCCGACAATTATCCATCTCCGCAACGGCTGACCATCATCCATCTCCGACAATCATCTATCTCAGACAACGGCTGACGATCATCCATCTCCACAACGACCGATCTCCGACAAAGGCCGATCTCCGACGACGATCGATCTCCGACAAAGGCCGATCTCCGACGACGATCGATCTCCGACAACGATCCCCTCAACATTCCCCACGCGTTTCTGAGGGGCGAGGGCTTAGGAGGACTTGTCCATGTGAGTGATGAGGTCCAACACACGGTTGGAGTAACCCCTGGGGATGAAAACACACGCAGTACGTACGACAGGGGACAGAGCTGAATGTCGGCATAGAAAACAAAGGGGGTTGCTGTAAATGAGGGCGGTGGCAGAGGCAAGGTGGGAGGCGTTTTATTGGCTAGTACAAGTAGCGAGCTGCATGAAGGAAAAAAGAAACGCTGCCTTACGCAGGGTGATTCCTTCAGAAGCACGGAACGTTCCTCTCTTCGTTCTTGACCAATCACACCACGAGTAGCCCGGCTTTCACGCGGATCGAATTCGACGTACGAAAAAGGACAAATACAGCGAGCGGTTTTCACCTACGGCAGAGGCCGGGCGGCCTTCTCCAAACAAGATTTGATGGATTAACTCAGGCGAAAGCAGGGGCCCTGCTGTGAAAATGGTGATGGTTAAGGTAAAGCTTGGCTCCGACGAGCGAAGAGTTGGACGTGACCAACGAGAGGTCAGAGTGGGAGCGTCACGATGGCACACCATTCCACTACCATACTAGGAGAGGTTGACGAAGCCATCATGTAAAACAATGTCGAAATCATTGAACCGCTAAGGGGCTCCGCAGATGAGAACAGATTGCCTGCAGAGAGAGTTGAAGCGGGCACCCACTCGTGACAAGCCAGCTTCCCAACCCTAACGAGGGAAGAATGCTACGGCCGGGAGTAGTCTCAAGTACAATGCAGGTGACCGACGCTCAGCTGGCCGCGGTCAGCTGAGCGTCGGTCACTTGCACTATACTCAGTACTTCGTAGTATGTATTCTGTTATCCTGAACGTACTTCCTCGTTAGGGTTGGGAGGCTGGCTTGTCACGAGTGGGTGCTCGCTCCAAACCTCTCTGCAGAATCTGTTCTCATCTGCGCAACCAATCAGCGTTTCCATGATCTCGACCATATTTTACGAAGGGAACCAACAGTGCCAATACGACACTTGTGAGGTAGGAGTGCGTTCAGACTCTTCGTTGAAACAAAAAACAGCAGAATCCTAGCGCCGGTCTCCAAAGCCAGAACCAAGCACTGCTGCTACATACATGCGGAACATGCGGAGTCAGCACTGCTGTGCACTGCTACATACACCACGGGGCGGCACTCCATACACATACAAGAACACGCTACGGGCATACGAGTCACGTGACACACTTTACTCATCACATCAGCACTGCTTTGCTTTGCTCCAAACACACATCACGTGCATGTGAACGAGTGACGCCATTTTTTTACGTTTTGAACTTTTCTCACCATTCGTTGTCGTACCACGACACGAGCTTGACGAAGTCGTCTGTGAGGGCGATGCCGGCCGTGGCGTCGAAGATGGACGATCGAGAGTCACCGATGAAGTCAGAGGACACTACCGCATCCTCCGTGTAACCCTGGGTTCACGGGTAAACCAAGAGCATCACACGGTTAAGGTTGGAGTGGGGTAGAACCCCGGGTTCACGGGAAAATCAAGAGTTGAGGGGTCAACCAAGAGAATCAAACGGTCATGGACAGAAGGGGGAGGGAGAGGGAAATGAGGGCGCCCTAGGTAGCGGGCGTGTTGGTAATGCGCCCTTCGAGACGACCCACGCTCTAGTACCTCTCGCCAGGTATCCCTTCCGTAATGTACTTGTTCCTGTCAAGACACTACAAATGTATCCCTTCCGTGTGATGCTCGTACCTCCGCACTTGCTCTCACTAGCTCTCTCCAGGCATCCCCCCCATGTGACACGCGTACCTGTCACTGCTGCTAAGTCTCTATCACCATATATCCCTTCCACGTGATACGTCTCACTATCCTCTCACTACAGCAGTTCCTCTCACCAAGTATCCATTCCGTATCATACATCTCTACCTCGAATACCTTTCACGCCAAGTATCCCTTGCGACTTATACCTCTCGCTGCCACCACAATATCTTCTCACCCGGTACCCCTTCCGTATGCACCTCGCATTAACTCTCATCATGCATCCCTTTCCGTATGATACTTAGAGATGCCTCTCACTAGTCCACACAGAGTATATCTATCTCACCAGGTATCCCTTCATCGACCCCTCCGATGCATCCTTCATGGCGGCCTTGATGTCGTCGTAGCTCGCGCCCTTCGTCAGGCGGCACGTCAAGTCCACAACGGATACATCCGCCGTGGGCACGCGGAAGGACCTAGGGGTCACGCGATGGGAGGTTGACGGGCTTGGCGTAAGAAATGGGAAACACGCTTTCGGTAATAGACACGCGACTTTTCCACCCAAACTTCGCAGCACCACAAGGTAGGCGGGAAACACGCATACTTTCGTCAAAGACACCATCTTTCACCAACCCGTTAGGGCGGAAGTCTGAACAAAATCGAAATTACCCGACGCCTACTGTGTTCGGTGATCGGAGGGTAGCTACAGCAGACGGCAACGTGCCACAAGAGGGACGTCATTCCGTCCGTGTCTTGGGATTCAAGAAGACGCAAGGAATGCTGGCAATGGGTTCTAAACCTGCGGTCCTCAAAGCAGCAGCTCGAACATCGCCACTAAAAAAAGGGAAACGATACAACTGGTAAACCCTGGTCAAAAAGCGACTCAGCTGGGTACGTAGTATTCAACAGGGTGGAATGAGCCCAGCTGATTGGTCAAAGCCCACCTTCACCCTGCCGCGTCATTAAACGCGCAGGGTATACCCTGCCGAGGCTACTTTCCTCCAGAACTGTACCCTGATTTCGGAAAATGTACCCTGGCCTGACGGGAAATGAGACCTTCTCATCAACCATTTCCTTTACAGACATCCTGTCCCTTCCAACCATGGGATACTCAAAAGCGAATCTGCACGACCGGAAACAACCATGGCAACTGCGCAGAAATCAACCAGAAAGGCTTTTCCGCCCCTGTCAAACGACACCAACCATCATCACCTCCCGCTCTGAACAAAACAATGGGTGGCGAAGCCCTTGCAGTCCCGTCCCGTCTGCATGTTTACGCAGACTACCATAGAGCATGTGAGGTTGTACAGCAGCATGCATGCGAGATTTTCGGGGCACGCTTAGGACGCGAGACCGGTCCAGCATGGAAAACGCCGTTGACGCAATCATGGAAAACAATCATGGGCGGCGGCGACATCTTGCCAGAGGGGAGCGAGGAACACACACACGCCGTTGAACACAATCATGGAAGGAGCGAGTGGCGGCACCGGTGCGCTTCGGCAGCAGGCTTGCCCAACACGTCAGTGCTCGTTACGGCTGGGCGAACATTCCCTAGCCGCCAAGGCCGCGAAGGTCGCGGTAGCAGCTGAGCTTGCTGCCGCGGACCATTCCATTAAGAATTGAAGTGGGGCTGGTCAGCAATTTCACCTTGTGTGCAAGAGTTGCACAAGTTGGATTGAAACGGGCGCTGCCAACAGAGCAACGGCGACTTCAAGATCACCACAAGGTAGAGGGCCCCCGCGTCAACTGTGCTGAGTGGAGGCGTACCAGCTCCGAAGTTGTACAACCCCTCATAGACCAGCTTGTACGGGCCAACTGGTCATCGAGGGGTTGCACAACTGTGGAGCTGGTACGCCCGCATTCAGCCAAGTTAACGTGCGGGCCCTCTACCTTGTGGTAATCTTGAAGTCGCCGTTGCTCTGTTGGCAGCGCTCCTTACAAACCAACTTGTGCTATTCTTGCACACGAGGTGAATTTACCCATCTGCACCACCTCCACTCTTCATGGAACGGCCCGCGGCAGCAAGCTCACCTGCTACCGCGACCTTCGCGGCCTTAGCGGCTGGGCAATGTTCGCCCAGCCGTAACGGGCACTACCGCGGTGGACATGAACAAGCCTGCCGCCGAAGCGCTCATGTGCCGCCGCTCGCTTCTTCAATGATTTATGTGTGTGTGTGTTCCTCGCTCCTCTCAGGCACCAACACACATTATTGTTGCTTGCCATGGTAACTTCTGGTCGGGCAGATTCGATGTTGAGTATCCCATGGTTCGAGGGGAACAGGATGCTTGCGGATGAAATGATTGATGAGAGGGTCTCATTTCCCGTCAGGTCAGAGTACAGTCATGAAAAAAAGTAGCCTCGGCAGGGTATACTCCGTGCATTTTAGGACGCGGCAGAGGGTGACGACTTTGACCAATCAGCAAGGTTTCAGGCTGTTGAATACAATGCACCCAGCTGAGTCGCTTTTCGACTAGGGTACGTATATTCCCTGACGTGTCGTTTTCCCGCTTAAAAGATATCAGACTTGAGCGTATTCCTGCTGTCTCATATCTGACTCTGGCAAGCAAAGCGAGGACGACCCATCGGGCGAAGCCTCGGCATCAACACAGAAGAAGCGAATCTACTACAATAGCTAACATGTTCCGTTCGGCTGCGACTACTGCTGTTGCGGTTCAGGTTGTCTCGTGTGCTCACATGCCGGTCAGCTTGCCGTTGAGCTCCGGGATGACGACTCCCACAGCCTTGGCGGCACCTGTCCACGAGTCAGCGTGGGGGGGGGGGGG